ATGTGTATATAGTACGTTTATAGGTTCTTTATTCTCAAAAACACCTCACGTTATCAGATCTGGACACTGGTCACCATTCCGTCTATGTTATCAGATCTGGACACTGGTCACCATTACGTCTATGTTATCAGCTCTGGACACTGGTCACTATTCCGTCTATGTTATCAGATCTGGACACTGGTCACCATTCCGTCTATGTTATCAGATCTGGATACTGGTCACCATTCCGTCTATGTTATCAGCTCTGGACACTGGTCACCATTCCGTCTATGTTATCAGATCTGGACACTGGTCACTATTCCGTCTATGTTATCAGATCTGGACACTGGTCACCATTCCGTCTATGTTATCAGATCTGGATACTGGTCACCATTCCGTCTATGTTATCAGCTCTGGACACTGGTCACTATTCCGTCTATGTTATCAGATCTGGACACTGGTCACCATTCCGTCTATGTTATCAGATCTGGATACTGGTCACCATTCCATCTATGTTATCAGCTCTGGACACTGGTCACTATTCCGTCTATGTTATCAGCTCTGGACACTGGTCACTATTCCGTCTATGTTATCAGATCTGGATACTGGTCACTATTCCGTCTATGTTATCAGCTCTGGATACTGGTCACTATTCCGTCTATGTTATCAGCTCTGAATACTGGTCACTATTCCGTCCATGTTATCAGATCTGGATACTGGTCACTATTCCGTCTATGTTATCAGATCTGGATACTGGTCACTATTCCGTCTATGTTATCAGATCTGGATACTGGTCACTATTCCGTCTATGTTATCATATCTGGACACTGGTCACTATTCCGTCCATGTTATCAGATCTGGACACTGGTCACCATTCCGTCTATGTTATCATATCTGGATACTGGTCACTATTCCGTCCATGTTATCAGATCTGGATACTGGTCACTATTCCGTCTATGTTATCATATCTGGACACTGGTCACTATTCCGTCCATGTTATCAGATCTGGACACTGGTCACCATTCCGTCTATGTTATCAGATCTGGACACTGGTCACTATTCCGTCTATGTTATCATATCTGGACACTGGTCACTATTCCGTCCATGTTATCAGATCTGGACACTGGTCACCATTCCGTCTATGTTATCAGCTCTGGACACTGGTCACCATTCCATCTATGTTATCAGCTCTGGATTGGTCACTATTCCGTCTATGTTATCAGATCTGGACACTGGTCACTATTCCGTCTATGTTATCAGCTCTGGACACTGGTCACTATTCCGTCTATGTTATCAGGTCTGGATACTGGTCACTATTCCGTCTATGTTATCAGATCTGGACACTGTCATCATTCTGTCTATTTTATCAGTGTCACAGTATACAGCACCAAAACTGATGTAAGTTAATTTACAAGCTATATAAACAGCTAATTGCGAGTAAAGGCCCCTTAAGTCACTGTCATTCAACCTTACATACTTGAAAACGTCACAGTTGAATTCATTGTGGTATGACTTTTCAAAAAAGCTTTGATGAGAAATAGATATTTAAAATATTCAGCGTGTTTGACACATATGGGAGTGTTTCTGTATGGTATTTCCTTCGTGTATCCCATGTCGGCCATATATAGCTGTTACGGGGTGTTTTGTGAGAGCATATTATCACGAGAACGTGTGTACGGGTTATAGTCTGTTTGGTTAATTGTCGAGTTCCGGTTAATTGTCGAGTTCCATATTATATAAACATACAGCCTGCTAAACCCAGTGAAACATGACTACTGGTGTATAACTTTTGGTGTATTACTGCTTACATTTTGGAGTTTCCGCCATATCTATAAATAGGGATGATGTCATGATAATATTTACTTAAATCTGAATTACTGTAAGGTGTATATTTATTCAGAGCCCATTCAACTGCCACAAGGCGGTCGTTTAGATAACAACCTAAAATTACACTTACTTTGTCACTTTACAATCGTTTAGTGTATTATGACTAGTTTCAGTTAAAAAATCATACTAAATCAAATGTATTTGAAATCAGTAAGTTGATATTCTATCTTTAAAACTTTACAGAACATTGTAGAAAATGGTTGAACGATTATCGTGTAGTGTTGTATATGAATCATGCCGGCCCAGGAAACCGTACTTTCTTACCATCTTGATATGATATTCACATGCACACACGCGCGAACACTATATATAGCCTTGACGCAATATGTTTATTATTATTATTATTATTATTTTACAATCAGTCCACTACGAGACGTTTATCCTTTGGACTCCGATAAAGTGATTCTGTGATTTGTTTATCATGGTGAATAGTTTAACTGATCGTAAAGGAAATACCAAGGTATGGGTCCATTATCCTTTAGGATTCACTACAGATTATTCTGTGGTAATGGTAAGGGAAATATAGGGTCTATGTTGTTCCGTGTTGTATTATTGTAGTTTACACTGTATAAAAAAGGGCTGATATAACATATTTCTGAATGTCCTTGTATGTCATCAGTAGAGCATTTCCATGCTTGTATGTCCTGGTATGTCACCAGTAGAACATTTCCATGCTTGTATGTCCTGGTATGTCATCAGTAGAGCATTTCCATGCTAGTATATCCTTGTATGTCATCAGTAGAGCATTTCCATACTTGTATGTCCTTGTATGTCATCAATAGAACAGTTCCATGCTTGTATGTCCTTGTATGTCATCAGTAGAGCATTTCCATGCTTGTTTGTCCTTGTATGTCCTTGTATGTCATCAGTAGAACATTTCCATGCTAGTATGTCCTTGTATGTCCTTGTATGTCATCAGTAGAACATTTCCATGCTTGTATGTCCTTGTATGTCATCAGTAGAACATTTCCATGTTTGTATGTCCTTGTATGTCATCAGTAGAACAGTTCCATGCTAGTGTGTCCTTGTATGTCATCAGTAGAGCATTTCCATACTTGTATGTCCTTGTATGTCATCAGTAGAGCATTTCCATACTTGTATGTCCTTGTATGTCATCAGTAGAACAGTTCCATGCTTGTATGTCCTTGTATGTCATCAGTAGAGCATTTCCATGCTTGTTTGTCCTTGTATGTCCTTGTATGTCATCAGTAGAACATTTTCATGATAGTATGTCCTTGTATGTCCTTGTATGTCATCAGTAGAACATTTCCATGCTTGTATGTCCTTGTATGTCATCAGTAGAGCATTTCCATGCTTGTATGTCCTTGTATGTCATCAGTAGAACAGTTCCATGCTTGTATGTCCTTGTATGTCCTTGTATGTCATCAGCAGAGCATTTCCATACTTGTATGTCCTTGTATGTCATCAGTAGAGCATTTCCATGCTTGTATGTCCTTGTATGTCATCAGTAGAACATTTCCATGTTTGTATGTCCTTGTATGTCCTTGTATGTCATCAGTAGAGCATTTCCATACTTGTATGTCCTTGTATGTCATCAGTAGAGCATTTCCATGCTTGTATGTCCTTGTATGTCATCAGTAGAACAGTTCCATGCTTGTATGTCCTTGTATGCCATCAGTAGAACATTTCCATGCTTGTATGTCCTTGTATGTCATCAGTAGAACAGTTCCATGCTTGTATGTCCTTGTATGTCATCAGTAGAACATTTCCATGTTTGTATGTTCTTGTATGCCAAAGGTTGAGCATTTCCAATAACAAAAATTGATCTAGTTAAGGCAAACATTGATTAAACTGAACATTCCATGCTTGTTTGTCCTTGTATGTCCTTGTATGTCATCAGTAGAGCATTTCCATACTTGTATGTCCTTGTATGTCATCAGTAGAACATTTCCATTCTTGTATGTCCTTGTATGCCAAAGGTAGAGCATTTCCAATAAAAAAAATTGATCTAGTTAAGGCAAACATTGATTAAACTGAACATTCCATGCTTGTATGTCCTTGTATGTCATCAGTAGAACAGTTCCATGCTAGTGTGTCCTTGTATGTCATCAGTAGAGCATTTCCATACTTGTATGTCCTTGTATGTCATCAGTAGAACATTTCCATTCTTGTATGTCCTTGTATGTCCTTGTATGTCATCAGTAGAACATTTCCATGTTTGTATGTTCTTGTATGTCCTTGTATGTCATCAGTAGAGCATTTCCATACTTGTATGTCCTTGTATGTCATCAGTAGAACATTTCCATACTTGTATGTCCTTGTATGTCATCAGTAGAACAGTTCCATGCTTGTATGTCCTTGTATGTCATCAGTAGAGCATTTCCATGCTTGTTTGTCCTTGTATGTCCTTGTATGTCATCAGTAGAACATTTCCATGCTTGTATGTCCTTGTATGTCATCAGTAGAACATTTCCATGCTTGTATGTCCTTGTATGTCATCAGTAGAACATTTCCATACTTGTATGTCCTTGTATGTCATCAGTAGAACAGTTCCATGCTTGTATGTCCTTGTATGTCATCAGTAGAGCATTTCCATGCTTGTTTGTCCTTGTATGTCCTTGTATGTCATCAGTAGAACATTTCCATGCTTGTATGTCCTTGTATGTCATCAGTAGAACATTTCCATACTTGTATGTCCTTGTATGTCATCAGTAGAACATTTCCATGTTTGTATGTCCTTGTATGTCATCAGTAGAACATTTCCATGCTTGAATGTCATCAGTAGAACATTTCCATGCTTGAATGTCATCAGTAAGGCATTTTCATGCTTGTATGTCCTTGTATGTCATCAGTAGAACATTTCCATACTTGTATGTCCTTGTATGTCATCAGTAGAACAGTTCCATTCTTGTATGTCCTTGTATGTCATCAGTTGAACAGTTCCATGCTAGTGTGTCCTTGTATGTCATCAGTAGAACATTTCCATGCTTGTATGTCCTTGTATGTCATCAGTACAACATTTTCAATAAAATTTTTGATCTTGTTAAGGCAAACATTGTTTAAACTGTCGTAATGATGTTTTCAGTTGATCTAGTTCCTTTTACAAGCTGTATATAAAAACACGAACATTTTGTCTCTCTTTTTTTTTTACAGGATATTGATTTACCTTGTGAATCCATGGAAATGCCTCCCGCGGACCTTCGCGATATCATCTCCTGTCCAATATGCTACGAAGACTTTGAGGAACCGAAAGCACTGCCGTGCCTCCATACATTTTGTAAGGAATGCTTACAGTTGTTGATTTTAAAATCTATGGAATCCGACGTAAAGAAATATTTCTTTTGTCCATCATGTAGAAGGAAAGTTTACGGTCCGAAAAACGTAGCGCTTGAGGAATGGGCGGACTCTTTCCCGTCCAACCACACGATTCGTACTTTGCAGGACAACTTCAAAATGGAGGACTCGGAAAGTATGTGTGATTACCACAAGGGGAGAGTGGTGGAATATTACTGTACGGATCACGAAACCACAATCTGTTCACAGTGTTTTGTTCTGGAACACAGGCAGTGTTGCGAAGTCGATACAGTTGAAGCCGCAGCTGACAAAACAAGAGACAAAGAGTCGGAACTGGAGGAAAAACTTCGTAGGCTTGCCAAATGGATGGATAAAAAGAAAAGCAAACGACGGGAAATTCATACCCGCCTAATTGATGTTGAAGCTGCTGTACGGTCTTGGCGGAAAGAAGTCGACGAGGAATTGGACCAATGGGAATCTCACGTAACGGAGCAGTTGCAGACTGTGGCAGCCAAAGATATCAGTCAACTGGAGCAGGCTATCCAGCACGGCGAGCACATCATGCACAACCTCAAAAATGCTAAAACTGACATTTGTGATAGCACGCAAAGCAATAAGAGAATTCTGAAAGCCAGAACTAGTATTAGCAGCGTCATCTCTGAAGCTACAGAGGTAATCAATTCTGTGGATTCTGATAACAGCCATTTTCAACTTAGTTTTAAAGGAAACGAATCCTTGAAAAAGTCTCTATCAGGAATTGGCAGTTTAGTTGTCCCTCAAACTACTGTTACTTCAGCATCACTTCAAAAGAATTTAAGTGATGAAGCAGCAGGACCAAGGATATTTCCGTCTCCTACTCAGTTGGCACAGTTGGTCCAACGCTGGGATACCTCACGCTTAAATCCGAATGCAACGCAATTCATACCGAAAGGAAATCTCAACGTCCGAACAAGCCGGGATAAAGACGATTGTTTGATCACCGGAAGTACGTTTTTACCTGATGGGATTCTCGCTATCACCGACCAAAACAACGGCAAGATTAAATTCTTTGGCCGATCGTTCAATCTCTTGTCGGAAATGGGTTTCAGCTCCGATCCATGGGATGTCTGTTATGCTGGGGGTAACGCCATAGCTGTGAGTTTCCCTGACGACAATTTCATTCAATTCTTCAAAATCAAGGGCGGAAAAATCACAGGTTCAATGGGCAATGTCAAAACTCCAGGTCGTTGCTATGGTATCGACATTCGAGGACAACGACTGGCTTTCATCTGTAGGAGCAGACAGGGGAGTTCCGTACACGTCGTTAATCGGACAGAAGGGAAAGACTTGGGAACATGGATAAAAGAGAAAGCGCCTACTTTGAAACCAGGTGGGATGTGGTATCTGGCATTCGATGACAATGGCGACATTTTGTATGTGACAGACGACGAAGATAACCGTCTCATCACTTTGGCCGTGGATGGTAGTCATGGTACTTCACTGAGGGTAATCAGCACCCAAGACTTTGGGAACTACAGCACACGCGGGGTTGCAACACGTGGGCCCGATATTGTGGTGACAAGTCCAACTCACGTGGAAGAGTTCAGTGTATATTCAAAAGGACTCAGGTCACAAATTTACAAAGCAAGAGGAGATGTTGTCAGCGTGGACCCGAACACAAACCGTATTTTTATCTCGCCGCCGTCAAAGGGACAATACGCCAAAAGTAATATTTGTCAAGTCCGTCATTTTGACTGCTCCATCTAGACTTTTCTGGTTTAGTTTTGATGGGCACTTATCGGCCTCTATCTCAGCACCACATCTGTGTGTATAGACCGGTTGACTACCAGCATGACTGTTGAAACATGGCGAACATGTTCATTGCATTTGGGTTTCTTTACAAGTTTGAATTGATTAGTGCAAGGGTTCGGTTGAATTACTATTTATAAATAAAACTGTATTATTTACAAATTGTAAACATTCAATTTTAAACATTATTGATAATGTACATAGTCTTTGTCTATAGACCTAGTTACTTGTATATATATATGTGTGTATATTGGGGCAGTATAGACGATGTAGGTACAATGAACAATTTGATTTTGTTGTAAACTAACAATGTTCATCATATAATCGGGTAGCAGTTATTAGCAATACTGTGGTAGATAGCGACCAGACATAAAATTGTCATGATTAACAGAGGTTAAGTCTGTGGTAGATAAAGGTCTGTGCTATTCTATCACAAACGTCAATAATTACTGACTTCATCATATTGTATCAATCTGCCTGAATAAGTTACAATAAAGTAAGTGTGTCTATGATTTTGTTGCTCAAGTTTAATGTTCAATCACTCACTTGTCACTGGTAACGTTTCCATCAGACAAACTTTATAACACAAGGGGATGGTTGACCTAGATAGAATACCCGTAACATGAGGGATCAGTTAACCTGGTTATGTTACCCGTAACACGAGAGATCAGTTAACCTGGTTAGGTTACCCGTAATACGAGAGATCAGTTAACCTGGTTAGGTTACCCGTAACACGAGAGATCAGTTGAACTGGTAAGGTTACCCGTAACACGAGAGATCCTGGTAATATAATCTTTAACACGAGAGGTTCCGTAACTTCCTTGTTATATTACCTGTAACACGAGATGTTCCTTAACTTCAGTGTTATATTACCTGTAACACGAGATGTTCCTTAATTTCCAGGTTATATTACCTGTAACACGAGAGGTTCCTTAACTTCCTTGTTATATTACCTGTAACACGAAAGGTTCCTTAACTTTGTGGTTATATTATCTGTAACACGAGATGTTCCTTAATTTCCAGGTTATATTACCTGTAACACGAGAGGTTCCTTAACTTCCTTGTTATATTACCTGTAACACGAAAGGTTCCTTAACTTCAGTGTTATATTACCTGTAACACGAAAGGTTCCTTAACTTTGTGGTTATATTATCTGTAACACGAGATGTTCCTTAATTTCCAGGTTATATTACCTGTAACACGAGAGGTTCCTTAACTTCCTTGTTATATTACCTGTAACACGAAAGGCTCCTTAACTTCCTGGTTATATTACCTGTAACACGAAAGGTTCCTTAACTTCAGTGTTATATTACCTGTAACACGAGGGGTTCCTTAACTTCCAGGTTATATTACCTGTAACACGAGAGGTTCCTTAACTTCCTTGTTATATTACCTGTAACACGAGAGGTTCCTTAACTTCCTTGTTATATTATCTGTAACACGAGATGTTCCTTAACTTCCAGGTTATATTACCTGTAACACGGGAGGTTCCTTAACTTCCTGGTTATATTACCTGTAACACGAGAGGTTCCTTAACTTCCTTGTTATATTACCTGTAACACGAAAGGTTCCTTAACTTCCTTGTTATATTACCTGTAACACGAGAGGTTCCTTAACTTCCAGGTTATATTACCTGTAACACGAGAGGTTCCTTAACTTCCAGGTTATATTACCTGTAACACGAGAGGTTCCTTAACTTCCTGGTTATATTACCTGTAACACGAAAGGTTCCTTAACTTCCTTGTTATATTACCTGTAACACGAAAGGTTCCTTAACTTCCTTGTTATATTACCTGTAACACGAGAGGTTCCTTAACTTCCAGGTTATATTACCTGTAACACGAGAGGTTCCTTAACTTCCTTGTTATATTACCTGTAACACGAGAGGTTCCTTAACTTCCAGGTTATATTACCTGTAACACGAGAGGTTCCTTAACTTCCAGGTTATATTACCTGTAACACGAGAGGTTCCTTAACTTCCTGGTTATATTACCTGTAACACGAAAGGTTCCTTAACTTCCTGGTTATATTACCTGTAACACGAGAGGTTCCTTAACTTCCTTGTTATATTACCTGTAACACGAAAGGTTCCTTAACTTCCTTGTTATATTACCTGTAACACGAGAGGTTCCTTAACTTCCTTGTTATATTACCTGTAACACGAAAGGTTCCTTAACGTCCTTGTTATATTACCTGTAACACGAGAGGTTCCTTAACTTCCAGGTTATATTACCTGTAACACGAGAGGTTCCTTAACTTCCAGGTTATATTACCTGTAACACGAGAGGTTCCTTAACTTCCTGGTTATATTACCTGTAACACGAGAGGTTCCTTAACTTCCTTGTTATATTACCTGTAACACGAAAGGTTCCTTAACTTCCTTGTTATATTACCTGTAACACGAAAGGTTCCTTAACTTCCTTGTTATATTACCTGTAACACGAGAGGTTCCTTAACTTCCAGGTTATATTACCTGTAACACGAGAGGTTCCTTAACTTCCTTGTTATATTACCTGTAACACGAAAGGTTCCTTAACTTCCTTGTTATATTACCTGTAACACGAGAGGTTCCTTAACTTCCAGGTTATATTACCTGTAACACGAGAGGTTCCTTAACTTCCTTGTTATATTACCTGTAACACGAAAGGTTCCTTAACTTTGTGGTTATATTATCTGTAACACGAGAGGTTCCTTAACTTCCTGGTTAAATAACCTGTAACATGAGAGGTTCCTTAGTTTAAGAATGTATCAATTCAGAAATATATCAAATATCAAATTTATTTTAAAGTCTATCAAAAACAATGTATTACTTGTCGTTGTGACACCTTTGTCCCCTGTTCGACCCTTTAATCTAAATTAAACCAAGTAAAACACGTTCCTTGATATAAACTTTATTTTTATCCCATAACAACATGCGAGTAATACATAGCAAAGTATTCAGAGGAATTGGAATTGGAAACAAGTTAAACAACTTGTATAAATCCTTTTCCTTAATCACCTCCCGCCTGTATCAGAATACTCTCCTCCTCCTCAATGCCCTGTCAAATACCTTCCATTTGAAAAAAGAAAGTTGATTTCTTTCTTTATTTATTCGTTTTTTTGCAATCTACATTTAATCTGGTTGTTGACAGGAGTAGTTAAAATTAAAACTTCATGAAAAAGCCGAGTTAGCTCCCTTCCACCAGTAAAATTTTTTATGTTTGCCGACGTACATACATCGTCATTTTTTCACCGTTTATTGAACTTTTTTCATAGGACCCCAATGACGTCTGACCTGTTTCGTGTGACGACTCAGACTTGTATCCCGTTATGTCTGAGACATGTATCTTGTAATGTCTGAGACCTGTAACCCGTGATGTCTGAGACCTTTATCCCGTGGTGTCTGAGACCTGTAACCCGTGATGTCTGAGACATGTATCTTGTAATGTCTGAGACCTGTAACCCGTGATGTCTGAGACCTTTATCCCGTGATGTCCGAGACCCGTATCCAGTGATGTATGAGGCCCGTATCCCTTTATGTCTGAGACCTGTAACCTGTGATGTCTGAGTCCTGTATCCCGTGATGTCTGTGACCTGCATCCCGTGGTGTCTGGTTCCTGTATCCTGTGATGTTTGAAACCTGCAACCCGTGATGTCTGAGACCTGCAACCCGTGATGTCTGAGACCCGTATCCCGTGATGTGTGAGACCCGTATCCCGTGGTGTGGGAGACCTGTATCCCGTGATTTGTGAGACCTGTATCCCGTGGTGTCTGAGACCTGTAACCTGTGATGTCTGAGACCTGTATCCCGTGATGTATGTGACCTGTATCCCGTGAAGTCTGAGACCTGTATCCTGTGATGTGTGAGACCTATAACCCTTGATGTATGAGACCTGTAACCCGTGATGCCTGAGGCCTGTTGCCCGTGATAGCTGAGACCTTTCTACCCGTGATGTCTGAGACTTGTAACCCGTGATGTCTGAGACTTGTAACCCGTGATGTCTGAGACCTGTAACCCTTTATGTATGAGACTTGCATCCCGTGATGTCTGTGACCTGTATCCCGTAATGTCTGAGACCTGTAACCCGTGATATATGAGACCTGTATCCCGTGATGTCTGGTTCCTGTAACCCGTGATGTATGAGACCTGTATACCGTGATGTCTGAGACTTGCATCCCGTGATGTCTGAGACCTGTAACCTGTGATGTCTGAGACCTGTATCCCGTGATGTCTGAGACCTGTATCCTGTGGTGTGTGAGACCCGTATCCAGTGATGTATGAGACCCGTACCCTTGATGTCTGAGACCTGTAACCTGTGATGTCTGAGACCTGTATCCCGTGATGTCTGTGACCTGTATCCCGTGGTGTCTGGTTCCTGTATCCCGTGATGTTTGAGACCTGCAACCCGTGAAGTCTGAGACCTGTATCCTGTGATGTGTGAGACCTATAACCCTTGATGTATGAGACCTGTAACCCGTGATGCCTGAGGCCTGTTGCCCGTGATAGCTGAGACCTTTCTACCCGTGATGTCTGAGACTTGCAACCCGTGATGTCTGGTTCCTGTAACCCGTGATGTCTGAGACCTGTAACCCTTTATGTATGAGACTTGCATCCCGTGATGTCTGTGACCTGTATCCCGTAATGTCTGAGACCTGTAACCCGTGATATATGAGACCTGTATCCCGTGATGTCTGGTTCCTGTAACCCGTGATGTCTGAGACCTGTAACCCGTGATGTCTGAGACCTGTATCCCAATGATGTCTGTGACCTGTATCCCGTGGTGTCTGAGACCTGTATCCCGTGATGTCTGGTTCCTGTAACCCGTGATGTCTGAGACCTGTAACCCGTGATGTCTGAAACCTGTAACCCGTGATGTCTGAGACCTGTATCCCGTGATGTCTGAAACCTGTAACCCGTGATGTCTGAGACCTGTAACCCGTGATGTCTGAGACCTGTAACCCATGATGTCTGAGACCTGTAACCCGTGATGTGTGAGACTTGCATCCCGTGATTTCTGTGACCTGTATCCCGTAATGTCTGAGACCTGTAACCGGTGATGTCTGAGCCTTATAACCCGTGATGTCTGGTTCCTGTAACCCGTGATGTCTGAGACCTGTATCCCATGATGTATGAGACCTGTAACCGGTGATGTCTGAGACCTGTAACCCGTGATGCATGAGACCTGTTATACGTGATGTGTGAGACTTGCATCCCGTGATTTCTGTGACCTGTATCCCGTAATGTCTGAGACCTGTAACCCGTGATGTCTGAGACTTGTAACCCGTGATGTCTGGTTCCTGTAACCCGTGATGTCTGAGACCTGTATCCCGTGATGTATGAGACCTGTAACCGGTGATGTCTGAGACCTGTAACCCGTGATGTATGAGACCTGTTATACGTAATGTCTGAGACCTGTATCCCGTGATGTCTGAGACCTGTAACCCGTGATGTATGAGACCTGTATCCCGTGATGTCTGAGACTTGCATCCCGTGATGTCTGAGACCTTTCTACCCGTGATGTCTGAGACCTGTAACCCGTGATGTCTGAGACCTGTAACCCGTGATGTATGAGACATGTATCCCGTGATGTCTGAGACCTGTAACCCGTGATGTCTGAGACCTGTAACCCATGATGTATGAGACCTGTAACCCGTGATGTCTGAGACCTTTCTACCCGTGATGTCTGAGACTAGTAACCCGTGATGTCTGGTTCCTGTAACCCGTGATGTATGAGACCTGTATCACGTGATGTCTGAGACCTGTATCACGTGATGCCTGAGGCCAGTATACAATAATATCTGATACCTATATACCAGTACACAAGCGGAATGTACAGGTGATATGACATAATATCATTTGATTTGGAGTTTCATCTGTTTTAAGTATATCACTCTTGAAGGCTTGACAAAAAAAACCACAAAAGAACTGTTTTCATAAAAACTCATTTGAGATGAAAACTAATTTAAGACATTAAGGTTTAGATGACTGTTGTATTTTCTTTGTCGTTCTCCAAACTTTAGACTCTAAGTGGTATACCCCCTACATTTTCACCCACGATCACTTATATCATACTCATGCTGTTCCATTTTTTAAACCAAGAAGAGAAATCTAAACCCACTGTGTACACAGGTTGAACTAGTTCAATACAAAAGTAAAATGCTTGTTTTAATATTTATGCAGCTACGTTGTACGTCAGTTGTCAGAATGCTTTTTTTTTTAAATTTTGAGACAGACAAATAAACAAACAGACAGACAGGCAAGCAGCACAAAAACGGTTGTCCTTCATTAAGTTTTGTACCTCTGTTTCAATACCTAAAATAGAGAACTATTGTATAACTATAAAGCAGAAATCAAACACAAGGCGATGACGTACCACAAATCGTATGTACCACGCCTATGTTTTATTTCGTAAATCTGTAGAGGGACAATTATTGTAGCTAAAAATAGATTTGATGGCGAACTCTGAAAATGGAAAAAATCAAATACTTTGTTTGTTTAGGAATGTTATTAGGTAAGTTAGGAGTTTTTCGTCTGTAAAGTCCCAAATGGTTTCCATGTGTATTTCATCCCGTTAATTTGAAAATCCCAATTTTTTCATATTAATTTCATCTCTTTAATTTGAAGTCAGCAATTCTTTCCATATATATTTTCAGTGATATTTTTATAATAATTTATATACCACAACAATAAGATAAATAATAAATCATCAATTTTGAAATTTCACGCATTTATTATGTTAATTACAACGTTTTAATGCTTTCAAAATTATTATTCATCAAAAATGTATTGAATGAAATACAGATACCGATCTCAGGGAAGAATCCAGATAAAAAATGACAGTTTGAATGAAAGAGTATATAATTAACTTGCCATTGTTTCCCGAAACATCACCTTCCTATTGTTAAGAAAAATTTTTTGGCGTTCAGAGAACACGCCTAATGTCATTGCTTACTCATCAGTGGTGTGTGTACGCGAGCGTGACGACCGCGAGAAAGGGGGTAGTGATCTAACGATGTAACACTGATTAGGTAATTTCTCAGTATAAAGGTCATGATCAGGTCACCTAATGGTCAGTTTTCACCTGTAGAGTGATTACAGGATATTTCTAATGTAGGGGAGGGGGCATTAATTTGCGTCAGCCACTAAAATTGACGGTAGTCCTCATGTTACCAGTTTGATATCTCTCAAGTATTTAGTCTACGATTTCATTACGATTTTGATAAAACAATCAAAGAAAGAAGCTGATTTTCTCCCGGACTAAAATAATCAATCGTTTTCTCTATCTTACTTTTTAGCCCTTTCTGTTAATGAAATGTGAACAAATACTTGTGTATGAAAGTTTTACTGACTACGTAAAAATATCATCTGACGGTATTTTTTAAATCGCGTGTCTATAATTTTTACCTTCACGTTAATTATTTTACTTTGAGTATAAAACATATTATTTGACATTAAGGTAAAGTATTTAAACTTTAAGTATCTATGTCTTGTTTCACATGTTGGCGTGCCATACCTTATATGAAATAACGCAACGTAACACAAAAGAAAACACGAAGAAAACAAAGTGAACGTTTCATTTTTTTTTCGTACAAATTTCCCTTTAATACATAATAATACTCACGATAGTTACATTTACTTGAGATAAACTTTATAGAACATTTCTCTTCTCAAACATTGCCGGCTGAAACTGTTATATGTTGATAAACAAGTTCCTGGCATGAGATCTGCAGCGATAAGACTGATCTAGAATTTCCCTTCGGCGGGCCTCACGGAATACACAGGAGGTTACGCCATCTACCGATCGCAAAGCAAACGAGTACCTGTGCGGTGAGTTTCGTGGTGCATCGACTTAGGTACTATGTAACTGCCAGAAAAAGAAAAAACCAACAGAATGGCAGGCAGCATCCATGAAGGGCCGGAATATGGCACAGGGGATTTTGTCCTGTTACCAGAAGTGTCCATGCAAGCATTTATGTCTAATTTACAGCTGAGGTGAGTTGTTTACGTATCCCCAGACAGGCGACACACGGGTCCGCACCCTCTCCGCTCTTTTGAAGTTTGCCGGGACCTGCAAATATAGTGATATTACACATGGCAGTTAACGCGGTCCTCTTCTGAATAATTTGGCATTACGTTTAACGGGTTTAAACCAGACTGGTTCGTATCTGTCGTTATTAGGATATATAGGAAATGAATATTAGTCATAAATGTTATAGGACGACAAATATCAGAATCCGCGGTATTTAACAAGGGACGTAACTTTTGTATTTTTTTTTTCATTTCCTAGTTTGATGTAGATTTCATTTTACCATATACGGTGTCTTTTTCAGTAAATTAAACATTCTTCTTTAACCGTCTGTTTTGCACTTTCCTCTGAAGTGTGCACTTTTTCACTAAAATGTGCACGTTTTCCTGAAAAAAAACCCATGGCACCTCTGAAAATGAAAGTGATGAAACATAATACCGTAGTTGTTCCATTCAGTGCCACATCAAAATTGAAAGCAGATAACGCTACTGATTTATTTCCCTCGGTATAACACACACCAACTCTTAATAAACAGAGCTGAGATAAAATGTTTAATTTCCTTTCTTGCTTTGATTTTTGAGCTACTTTACAACTGAAAATGACTGTCACATATGTAAAAATATATATTCACAAAATGGAGAAAAAAGAAAATGAAAAACATAAAGAAGTGCCTTCTGAAAAATGAAAAAGACGGTATTTGTCAAGGTTATCCCAGATCACAGAGGTTCTGGCTGCTGGATCGGGCTCGTGTTAGACCCACTTAATCTAGTCTAACCCTATAAATGATGACTTCATGTGTGGTGTCACTTGTAGTAATGATTTGTACAATGATGTATTTAACATTAATAAAACTATGTGTATTTGCCAAGCTGACTCATTCCCTACACTTTGAGTGTATGACTAAACATTCTGTAAAAATTTCCCCTGTTTTATAAATTCATCATTTCCTAAAACTTTTAACATACTTCCTATAGATTGTGATCCAATGAGATCACTTCTTAAGGTATAAATAAATAATTGATTTTAAAAATGATTTATTTCACAAGTGAGAGCAGATTTAATTCTACATTTTAAAGTTGCAGTTTGTATGAAGAAGTTCTACAAATAATCTTTACTGAGATTTATAACCCTACCCAATTTAATCAATCATCAACACATCAAATAACACTCTGCTCAGCTACAGAACTGAAGACACATCAAATAACACTCTGCTCAGCTACAGAACTGAAGACACATCAAATAACACTCTGCTCAGCTACAGAACTGAAGACACATCAAATAGCCATCAGTGCAGCTACAGAACTAAAGACACATCAAATAGCCTACAGTGCAGCTACAGAACTAAAGACACATCAAATAGCCTACAGTGCAGCTACAGAACTGAAGACACATCAAATAGCCATCAGTGCAGCTACAGAACTGAAGACACATCAAATAGCCATCAGTGCAGCTACAGAACTAAAGACACATCAAATAGCCTACAGTGCAGCTACAGAACTAAAGACACATCAAATAGCCCTCAGTGCAGCTACAGAACTAAAGACACATCAAATAGCCTTCAGTGCAGCTACAGAACTGAAGACACATCAAATAGCCATCAGTGCAGCTACAGAACTAAAGACACATCAAATAGCCTACAGTGCAGCTACAGAACTAAAGACACATCAAATAGCCTACAGTGCAGCTACAGAACTAAAGTCACATCAAATAGCCCTCAGTGCAGCTAGTAAAAAAACAAACAACACATCAAATAGTCCTTGGTTCAGCTACAGAACTTACAACACATCAAATAGCCCTTGGTTCAGCAACGAAACTAACAACACACCAAATAGCCCTTTGTTCAGCAACGAAACTAACAACACATCAAATAGCCCTTGTTTCAGCTACAGAACTTACAACACATCAAATAGCCCTTGGTTCAACAATGAAACTAACATCACATCAAATAGCCCTTGGTTCAGCTACAGAACTTACAACACATCAAATAGCCTTTGGTTCAGTAACAAAACTAACAACACATCAAATAGCCCTTGGATCAGCAACAAAACAAACAACACATCAAATAGTCCTTGGTTCAGTAAAAAAACAAACAACACATCAAATAGCCCTTGGTTCAGTAACAAAACAAACAACATCAAATAGCCCTTGGTTCAGCAACGAAACTAACAACACACCAAATAGCCCTTGGTTCAGCTACAGAACTTACAACACATCAAATAGCCCTTGGTTCAGCTACAGAACTTACAACACATCAAATAGCCCTTGTTTCAGCTACAGAACTTACAACACATCAAATAGCCCTTGGTTCAGCTACAGAACTTACAACACATCAAATAGCCTTTGGTTCAGCTACAGAACTTACAACACACCAAATAGACCTTGGTTCAGTAACAAAACAGACAACACACCAAATAGACCTTGGTTCAGTAACAAAACTAACAACACATCAAATAGCCCTTGGTTCAGCAACAAAACTAACAACACACCAAATAGCCCTTGGTTCAGAAACAAAACAAATGTCACATTAATAGTCTTTGGTTAAGTTATATCAATGTTGATACACAGCTGTATGTTGAATTCCCAAACCATTGTGCATCCTGGTCAGATTGATTTATCGATGTACAGCAACATGCATGCAATATATGTACCTAATCAGCTACTTGTATAGCTATACAATGAATGTATATATTTATACCAGATTGCTTGGAACGTTGACAAACCATTTTAATATGAGTGACTATATAAGCATGAAAACAAGACTTGTATACACACTGCATGATATGCAAGACTAATTTTGCTTCAAATTTGATAAACAGATTTTGAGAATTTCTTAAAATAACTATAATAATTGTAGAATGTATCGTGGTTTGCCTTGAAGTGTAAACTTTGTATAAGTTAAAAGGCTTGAGCTTACTTCCATGTCTTTGTTGATAACATAGACTTACTGGGAAATTTTGGTCTGAATTGATGATAGTATAATTACCATGAAAGAAAATTCTTGTCTTTACTGACGGACATTTAAAAGTAAAGAAAATTCCATAATTTATATCAACATGCCATTTTATTTATTAGATTTATTCAACAAATGAGTCTGGTGGTTGGGGGGGTGGGAGGGATGGGAGGCATTCTCAGTAATGATAACCCCCTCTCCCCACTACCCTCCCCCTTTTTGCCAAATCTTCCAAACTTTAGGATGTGTCCCTTCCCATTAATGAAAAAAAAGCCATCAATTTGCAGAAAATTGTAACACTTGCCTTTGAAAATGCTTCAGTTTTTTATCAAAAATTTCGCAAAGAATTCTTTTATCAAACACTCGTTGGTCCTGTATGGTTAAATTCCTCCAAAGTTAGGCATAACTGCCAAACACCGAGAGAAATCTTTGGATATCTATATAGTAGATTTTAATGTTTGTTCCTGGTGGGGCAGTATCCTGTGGGTAACCCGTGGACCCCTGGTTTTATAATAGGTCTTAACTACTTCACAAGATTGAAGGGGTCATGGAGTGATAGTAGGGTTGTCACCATACTTCTGATTCAAATTAGTGCTTCACATCTGTAGTTTGAACCTCGTCACTTCAAATGCTAAAAAGATCATTGACACAAGAGAAAACATGTATTGTTACTTAAAGGAGCATACTTTCTAGGGTTCCTCCCTGCTCCCTGAGGATTTGTGTCCTCTTTGGCATGTATATTGTAAAAGTTGTCATATGGTATAAGGTGTCCTATAAGTAAACAAAGTATTTCATTGTTTAATTAAGAAGTTTAATTAAGAAGTTTCCCATTAATGTAACTTGACCCAAACCCACTGATACATGTCTGAATTTGTTATCATGTATGTATACTGCGAAAGTCCAGGAACTTTGAAATATATATATATGTTTACATACCGTTATATTATATTTACTTGTTTGAGGACAGATCTGATGTTGCTTCATCTGGATAATATTTACATAATATTTCCCATATAGTAACATACCTGACTAAAGTGTCATAGACAATAATTGCATTTAATCACATGACCTGTCACCATCATGACGTTATGAAAATAGTGCATCTTCAAAATGGCAGTTTTCATTCAGAGAATCACGCAGTTAATGAACTACTTAAATATTGGCAAATATGATGTATAAAGCTTGCGAAGTTCTATCATTAAATACAGCTGTAAATGCCGTAGTAAGATAGACTTCTATTTCTTGCTCATCTTAATTGATAAATTTAAAGATCAGCTGTTTACCATATCATTTAATTGATGATTTTTATACTTATGAATTGACAAGACTTTTCTTGGAAATGTCAAAACCAAATTGAAACTCAATATCTGTAATATCACATGATGAGTGATAAGTAGAAAAGTTGAGGACTTAACTGTAGTCCTGAACATGCTCCCCGGATATGATGGTGAAAATTTTCATAGTAATGTAGATTAAATCTCGAAGAAAATTTGTAATATTATTTAACATCTGCATAAAGTTTCAAAGTTGACTGCAGTTAAAAGAAAAAAGTAAAATTCAAAACTTCCTGCTTTAGGAAACAGGGTGAAACTTATGACCTAAAATCTCTCCATAGACAGGATAAACTAATTGAGATATTTTTGTAATTACCAACCAAAACACTTTAGAACTTGACAACACCCACTCTGTATTGGCTGGTATATCCTTGTGTATTTAAGACAAATGATATTGAGGAAGACTTACAGGATCTGAATCACAAATTCACGTCAGTTTTACTGCAGGGTCAGCTTTACACAAACTTACTCTACATCAATTTTAAGCTCATCAAATTATCCATTAAACTCAAATATATTGATCTGATATATTATTATTGAGGCTTAAAACTTTAATGAATTTTACTCTTTACAACAAGTTTCTAATTGTAAATATGTTACATTGCTTTATTTTTCATTACTTACACATTTAAATGAATTTCTGTGATAAAATGTTGTTACTAAGAAATAAGAATATTTAGAT